GTTTGCACTTTGCCGTACACTAAACACTAATCGTCTGTATTCTTCCGCCATGTGGAAAGTAATCGTACTGGCCCTGCTTCTATTTGTTACCGTCCATGCCGGACCTGTTGACCAACTACGTCCGGCTTTGATCGAAATTGATGCAGCAGTCGGGGGTTAGTATGCCGCATTTGGCCTCTACATCCTTAACTTGAGTTTTTCAGTTATTAGTTACTAATTAATTCCGGTGTTTCTGGCTCTGTGATGGTATAACCCAGTTGGGTAGAACACAACTGCTTCTAAAATGCATTGCAGGGATTCGCCTTCCATTTACCCTTCCACCCAGTCCTTGCGGTAATAACATCAACTTCAACAATCTGGCTCCAGGCAACCCATGCGATCGTCCTCTTCCTCTTCCACTACCAACTGGTTGATACCGGCCGGTATCCCGTTCATATGGACGTGTACGAATGCTTCAGATTCCTTGTGTCAGGATTTTCTATTGTCTCGCTTCGTCAAATGGCAGTTTTTATAATTATGCGCTCCCCAAGACCAAAACAGCCTGTTGCAACCGTCCCATGGGCCTTGTGTCATTATAGCCTTGTGTCTTTGCATCGTAAAAATGCGGTAGCTGTGCGTTATTGGCTCCTGATGAAAATTGTGCTATAAATTATACTACCACTTTGAGTCAACGGCACAGTAATGCACTAAAATAAATATATAGCTCAAAATATATTTTTTCGTCTTTCATATTTTAACGGATTACGAACATTGCAAAATACAGCCAGCCTTTTCGATCCATAATTTTAAAACTACTTTGAATCAGCTAAGTGCAAGCGCCGCTGCTGCTTTTTTTACTTCTGCATCCGTGTTATTCGGAGTGTATTAATATTCGGTGTTAGTGTAATCTGATCGGACTGTAGGACCTTGTATTCTTTTACTTCAGTGACTACATATATCGCAGGCAGAAAGGGTATACGGGTTAAAGGTTTACCATAAGGCGCCGCGTAAACCATTCCGCCGAAATCCGATACCGAAAGGTTTACGATACGTAAACCTTTCGGTATCGGACTGTTTAACCTTTCTGTCGGCGGCACCTGGGAAGTTAGTCCTTGTAACTCTTTTTCTTCCGAACCTTTTTGCAATCTGGATTTGCATACCGAAGACAAGAGACTTTCTCTCCTCGCTGCTTCACATGACGAAAGCTTCAAAGAATTGTTTATCTGATAGTTCTTGTTTATATACAAACTTGTAAACGATACTGATATAAAACTATCAGGTCTTTTGGTGTGGACAAAGCAGAAAATACCGTGTCTGTGGTATGTCCAACACGCGAATTCATATTGTAAGCGTGTCCGGAATGCGAAAAACGTCATAGTAGAAGTATTGTTTACTTTAATTTGCAGCACGATGAGCCTGAAGGCCGGTGTAGCGCCATTGTCTGATCAATGGATGCCGCCGCCAGAAAGGTTTACGGATTCGGCAGAAAGGTTTTGGTTTCAAAGCTGCGGAAATTATTTCCAGATTCCAATTACTTCGAGAATTTCTCTCTTGTAAAACCTTTCTAACTGTATTTAGCATTATGGTGTTGGCAGAAGACTGTTCTGAGTGGCCGGTTCGGAGATGCAGTGTATAGTGCAAATACATACAGCAACAATGTGACTAATCTCTCTTCTGTGCACGGAGAGGAAATAGGCGGCTGGAATGTGTTTGGAAGCATACGTAAAGGTTCCGCTCAAGCTACGTAAAGGTTCCGCTTTGGGGGTCCAGGACGTAGTCCAGCCGCATGCCCAACAACATCAGCTGAGTTGCGGATCCTTATCACGGTTTTACGATACTAGAAGCGACGCGGTATGGTATACCGTAAACTGGAATCAAATGGTTGACCTTAATGGTCCTAGTACTGACGCTACAAATGTCGAGCCTTATTCGTTAAATGCCGGCATTATCTGATAATGAAGAACGTCACGATATCATGGTTATGAAAAGCTGATCGGGCACAGAGTCGGACACTTTGTTTTAACACAAGGTGACAGTAATATGTCACTTTTTAACTGGATTAAATACGAGAATTACTAGAAGAATTAGTAGAATTACTAGAAGTGAAATAAAATTAAGTAAAATCATTTGTTAAATTGATTAGTCGCACGAAAAATAACGGTCGTCGTGGTGTCTTTTGGTTCCTCATGTATTATTTGCGATTTTCAGTATGATGTTATCATAATTATCTGCCTCTCATCCTTCATCACTTTTGCGCTTCGTTTGTACTTGAGTTTCGACACTTATTATATAAAAGTGCTTTTTTACCTAATGTACTATTGAAACAATAGAAGCTTTCGGCAAACGCTCCGCTTAACCATTACCATAAACTAACCATACTGTATGGTTAAGTGCGAGCGTATGGTAAGTGCGGATACCATACAAACGCGTCGTATGGTGGTCGACTTCCAACGACTCCCCTAAACATTTGTACAACCAAATTGCACTAGATGTGCTTTCTTATAATACAGAAAACATCATTGAATATAAATATAATTTTTTCGATCGATGTCGTGCCATGTAGTGCGAAAGAAAAAATAAATCTGAAGGTACCTAGAAGTCAGCTGCGCGATTTTGCTGAGCTTCTCATACACTGCCACCTCCATGGCGGTCTACCACGACTCGATAAGAGATGGTTAAGGGATGGGTACGGTGTCTTTTGCCGAAAGCCTCTAATAATTTTAAAAACGTTCACGCTGAGGATAAGTACAACAACGTTAAAAATGCCAAGAATGGTAAAGTCTGTTATGCAACGGCTAAAGGCAACGGCAAAGTTATTCGGCATTTTCGGTTCTGAACGACATTTTCGGAAGGCTGATTTAAACGGTAAGGTTTTCGCGGCAATAAAGGCAAAGATAAAGGCAATGTCGAAAAAGGCAAAGGTAATCTTGGCCGAGCCGCGAAAAGGCCTACAAGCAGCTGCGGCCGTCGCTACGAGATATCTTTTAGTGTTGCTTCTCATGATGTTTCCTTTGCATTTAACTTGTATAGTGCTCACTATTATTTACCGTGTATACTCGCGAAATCATGGTTTGTTGTGCAAAAAATGCGGTTGTTTTAACGGTTTACTATAATGGTATCAAATCATTGGTATGTAATGCTATCATCCTCTTCGTTTTGTATTCGTAGCATTAAGCGCTTGATTTTGTCATTCCTATCAAGCCTATAAAAATAACGAAATTCCATAATATAATTGTCGTGAGAATAGAAACGTGGAAACGTTTCTGCAAGTATTTTGCTTTCTGTTTTGAAGATACCAGAGGAAAAGCGCTATTGCTGACTTTTGAAAAAGTTATTCCACGTCTTACACATATCTCGGGGACTGGAATCTCTGCACAATATCGAAAAACTAGAAATGTGCACGGCAGTAGCGTTTTCCGGGCATTGCATGACCGATTCGTAGCCGAAATTACACAATAAACGCAGACTATGGGAGACTGAAGAGCGCAATTTCCGTTACTTGACTAGTTAGCTTTGCCATATACTGTACAGTGCTTTGTAGCAGTATATAACTTATGAACTGGATGTACAGCATTGGTGTATAACCGGCAAAATCGCACAGATGAATGAACCTTTTGCTAGCAACTCGAGGGAAAGAGAGATATTAATAAATAAGCGTAGTCATAGTTTGAAGAAATACAGTACATATTGATTTGAGAGGCGCGATAATTTTCGTCTACTAAAGATGCCGGACGTTACATAACTTTAAACCTAGCTACGTACCAATGAAAAAGAGGGTCCAAATGAACTAAACCGATTCACTAAATCTTAGAAATTTATTTAAAAAGCAGCACGGAAACAGGATAAAAGTGGCAGTATATTGGGCCGCCGCTATGTGTACGGTTAATTCTTTTTGGCAAAGGATTTTGGAGACGGCATTCCGAAATAGAAGATTTAGGAAGATGACGGCTGCAGTATAGTTGGATAAACGGGTCCCTTTTTCCTTACATTCTATTGGAACTACAGATAGGAGACAGAGGCACCAAAAATCCCGACCACGGGTCACATTCTCTTTAATTCAAGACCGAAATCTAAAGAAAACCAGAGAATAACTTCATTACATTAGTCGCTGCTGAGCTTAAATAGCCTAAACAGGGCAATCTGTACTACCCTTACGTCTCATACATGTGCACTCGTACTGTCGTACATACGTAAGCGGCACCGCCGCTACACGGCTTTAACGGCGGCAATGGCAAGCGTGAAGTTGACAAAGACGACGGCAAAGTTGAAAAAGGCAAAAAGAAAACGGCAAAGATGAGAGCGGCAGTCGCCCAAGTTACCCATCAACCGTTTTTTACAATCGTTTTGAGAGATTTTCCTAGAATAACTGCTGGTTTTAAATTCCCATGTATTATTGATACATATTGCGCAGAAATTCCAGGAGCAGGAAGAAAGCGGACTTGAGCGCTTAATCGATTTTCAATTTGTGTCCGCACTAGCAGCCAGGTCGATCCGAAACGAATGTCGGTCCTTTATACACCACCCCTTTCAGCAGCGATTACTTGCAGTTTTCTGCTCGATTTAATTACTTGCAGTTGGTGTAGCCCGTCTGCCGATAGTGTTTCAAGCTGCAGGTTGAGCTACGTCGGCTGACAATTACCGCAATTGCTTCGCATTGGCAACGGAGCGGAAATATTTCAGTACAATCCTCCGCGTTCCACCATATTCACGGCAGACTATAAATATTATGAGCGAACATAAGCTTTTGCACCACTATCGTTTCTTCTTTGATGTTGCCTGCCGGTAATTTTATCCTGCACATACGGGACTTATTGTTGAGCCGTTTCAACCCGTCTTTCATGATGAACGATTCATCGAACACTTCCCATCTTAGTACAAATTCATCGACGAATATCGGCAATGGGCAATCATCCGTACATATAGCCTTCTGGCTTATTATCGCTCCCATTTTAGCACTGCTACTTAACACTGGCGTTGTTTTCTTGATGGTGTGCAACAAAAACCTACGGACACCCTTCAACATGTACATCATGACACTGGCAGCGAGCAACATCGTCTATGTCACCATGTCCGGTACAATCGGCATCAGCAATCTGGGTTCCTCCGGCCAGAGCTGGAAACTGGGCGTGGAGGCATGCACGGCACAAAACTATAACTACTACGCTATCAGTGGGGTCGCGGTGCACCTCCACCTGCTGGTGAGTCTTAGCCGCGCCTGGGCCTTGTTCAGGCCGATCTCGTATCGCAACCACCACACCATCCGGGTGGCGATAGCATTCTGCGTGGGCGCGGTGCTGTATGTGCACATTCTGGTATTGCCCGGCTTTATCCTGGACGCTGTGTATTATCGTGTTCCGGTGGAGAACGGCTGCTGGATCGACGCTTCCCGACAGACCGTGTGGATGACCTTTGTAACAGTAGTGGTGTATGATCTGCCCAAGCTCTTCATTCCCGTCTGCTATCCGGTGCTGTTGTGGAAAACATTGCAGAGGAGAAAAATTGCGGCGAGTTTACGCGGGACAAGACTTGATGCTGCACAGCAACTTTCAGTGCCGTCTAAAGCAAGAGAAAGAGCCGATAAGGAGAATGCCGCTTTCCGACCGTTTGTCCTTTTGACCTTGTTCACCGTTGGTGTTGTCGTCTGCTGGATGCCCCCTATGGTTGCCTATATTCTCGGCAACTTTATTATTTCATGGAGAGAAATGGTTCAGTTTGAAGATGTAGTGTCGGTTCTCTATTCACTGCAGGCAATATTGGATCTGATATTCTTCTGCCTGAGTACGTAAGGGATTTGTGGTCGTACCTTCGTTTACAATGGAACAAAAGAAGACCCTTTTCCAACTCTTCTGATACGCCTGAACGCGCTAACTAAATAAGCCATCTCGATATGCTATGCACTTACTACATTCTGTATTATCGCAAAATCTTGCAGTTATCAAAAGCTTTTATCATTGCAAATACATGCAGGGATTTCGATGTTAACTGTATAGTTACTTATGAGGCACGCTGAGGAATGCTGAGGCACTCCCAAATGCGACCCTTAGTTAGCGCTACCCATAACATGTTAAGTACTACTGTATTTCTTGCTCTGTCCCAACTTATAAGAAAGGGTGATTTGTGAACGAGAAAACATATTCGTCGAAGTCTACAAGTTGTGTCTAGTCGTTTTCTATGTACCTAGCCGTATTATTTTTTCTGTATCACGTCTGCTGCTGTTTTTTTTTTGTTGTCCAGTAGTCTGCTGCATAATAAATGACTGATTTATGTCGCGCCACGTCCAGTGAGAAATATTGTACACTATTGGTTGTCTTGTACACGGCATGTTTCTTTGTATTGTTGTCATGGCACAGCCTTTAAAAATTTATAAGAAAAACAACTGCAAACTGAACTGAGCACCTCTGAATAACAAATTTCCCAATTTTATCCGTAGTATACTCGTACCGTTTAATACGTAAAATGGGGTAGGTCAAACGCTTAGAACCATTTCTCGTTTACTGCTGTCGTCATCCGGCTGGATTTTCAGATTATGGTGGTACATTTGGCTTACCTACATTACTACAGTCATATTAATTATTGTGGTCTAGTCCGGCGCGGTATATCAGCTCCGTGTTCAGCCCCAACACTCCAACCGGTGCCGGCATCGATTACAGAGCTTAATTCTAAGCGTTTGGTTCTCCTTTTGCTATCACTTTTGTCGCTACTTTACAAAATGAAACAACGGGTTCACTGTAATCTTATTGACACCGTTCGCGCGATCGTTCGACGTGCTGCTCGTTGTTCCTGATGTCTGCAATTTTCCCAGGTCAAGGGAAAACCAACATCCAAGTACAATGCTCGTGATCTAGATCTTCCCCGGCTAACTTTAAATACATTTGCTCCGACGAGAGCACGAGAAGCACGCAGCTGCTCACTTTAGTAGACAGTTGTTGCCTTGTGTATTACCCTTTACAGTATATACAGAATGATCTTTCCGGTCGTCGGAAATACCGGCCGACGACCGACCAGTGAACCAAGCTGTTCGAACGGCTTGGTTCACTTGCCAAACTTCCTTTTGACCTGCTTTGAAATAACACAAGAAATTATCATTTGATACAAGAAATTATTATTTTTTTCCTTTATTGCGACGATAGGAATAACGATAGAATGCAGTGCAATGCGGAAAAGTTGGAATCCCTCTTACAATTTCTGCCTCTTTCAATTTTGTCATTAAAATTTATGATCAAATTAATGGTTCAGCAAATCATTGAGTACAATTCCGCTTACTACGGAAGCGCAGTAAATGTCATAATACGTTCTGCTTACGAGATTACGTTACTCAGCATTTCTGGGTGATCTGAGACAAAACTTCACATTCAGGAAATCTGCGCCACTGCGCTTGGTATTCATTGCTTGTTCAGCATGTTGGTAGACAATCTTCGATCCCATTTGCAAAAGGACATCACAATTATGAGATTACTTTATAAAGAAAATGGTAATGTCATGGAGTGTCCTTACTTTTAGCAGCACAATTTACTGCTTCCAAAATAAGCAACAAACCGATGACATACATAGTGCACAGGGTAAAACACCCATGATTGCACCAATTTGCACGCTCTCAGTAGAAATTCAATTACTGCGATTAGTACTGGGAATGCTCTTTGAGTAAGAGTAAGAGCAGTCGGTGTGCTCTTGCTCACGTGCGACACCGAGGAAAAGCCGAATAGAGGCTTACATGACAGTGAATTTGTCTGAATTAGCAGAAAGCATACGAGTACGGTCGTTTAAGTGAAACACTATGCTAAGTGAATGAGCGATGGTCGTTTAAGTTTTTTTTTTGTTTGAGTTTTTTTAACCAGTTTTTTCCCGGATTTTTTTCTTCATCCCATTAAACATGATATATCTTCACAGAGTATTTGAAATTTTTAAAAAAGCTGAACCGTTTTCTTTCATCGGACTTGTTGCTACTTAAAGACTTGTATACGTGGCTGTCCACGATTGTGATAGTCGCTCTTGAACGTTTTTACTGCTGCTTCAAAAATGCAGTGGAACGAGGCTCCGTCGTCACGTCGGAAATCTTTCAAAAGCAAAGCGAACGAGCCGCGCCAGTTAAACTTAATCGCGAGATGTCGCAATGACAACATGCGCACAATGATGTGCAAATGTTCAAAACGAGCCGTACGCTTAACACTGAGCAAGTGTGCAAAACATATGTTTACATTTTCCTTTCCCTGCTCAAATAAATTAATAGCGAAAGTTGTAAAATCCCTTTACTTCTCGGTAACATTTAACTATGTCCGAAATGCACACAGCATTACCACGTTAAGTAACCGTTTGAAATTAAACGGTGCAATAGAAGCTGCCTTGTTCGCACTTCTGCGAATTAATTATACTTATATAAAAATATATTCGCTTATTGATTTTCTTTTCGTAGGAAAACCATCAATCATTCCACTGTAATGAAATTGTGGAATTAAGTGGAATTAACACTGCACATTGGATAGTGCATGCACCACATAAATTGCATCCCCTGTTCCTGTTATTTAATTTCCGGCACCTTCTGTACTCGAAACATTAGCGTATTAATTTTCTGAATTTAGACTGTGAAATCAAAACCGCGCCACAGCGAACGTATTTCCAGGTACTTCGCTCTTTTGGAAATAAGCACCAGTTACAGATATTAATTTCCAATTACGTCGTCAATTTCTCTCTTGCTTTTGTAAATGTACCAGGAAAACGAGAATGCAGCACTCGCGCTACCTTAGTTTGAATATTCCGTGACAGCCACGTCGATCCAACTGAACGGCCATTCCTGCGCGCCCTCGTCAGCAAACAGTGCTTTCTATTTTTCTATCAAATGAAATTTTTATATGCTTGTCGTTAATACTCTTTCCCTGTTGAATACGTCTCCGGTACGTCCCTTGTATGGTGTTCGGTTATGTCTGCGGATGGCGATCGTTTTGTGCTACTTTCTTTCATCCGTGGAACGGACATTTCACAATGGGCCGACGCAATTATTTCCAGCAGCATAATTCATAATTCCGCATTTTCAAAAACGCAGCTTGCTGTAGCTCAGCAAGAATATATAGGTAATGAAACGGGAGACAGCCGCTCCGCTTGTTCTCCTGTTGTACATTTAAATCTGAAAATACTGCGCGAAATGCAGTGCGCAACGTATGCACCGGCCCGGTCCATATAAACCGGATACTTCTTTAGCCGATCCAGTATTTGACTGAGGATGCTTGGTCGCAGTGGGCCGGAATAAAACTGCAGTCAACGGACGTTCAAGCAGCAGTTTCTTTTATTCCGAGGCTGCCTTTGAATACGAAACGGCTGATTTTCCTCCGTATGCCAACATTGCTGGTCAAGGCAGAGAGAAACATGTCCAACCATCCCGTCATCCTGAACGCTTCTTTCAACAATTCAAGTCTGCATTTCAGTTCATCTGTGAATGGCACCGAACCGCCACATTTCGCGATTTGGACCATTGCTGCTCCATTCATAGCACTACTGACCAACAGCGCTGCTATCATCCTGATGGTGTGCAACGAGAAACTACGGACCCCCTTCAACGTGTACATCATGGCACTGATGCTGAGCAACATCGCTTACGTCACCATTGCCGGCATACTGAGCCTAACCAACGCGCGATACATCTACCAGAACTGGACACTGGGTGTCGCCTTATGTACGGTACGCATATATACCGATTACGCTGTCAGCGCCGTCACGGTGCATCTCCACCTGCTGGTTAGTCTCAGCCGCGCCTGGGCTTTGTTCGGACCAATGTCCTATCGCAGCCACCACACCAGACGCTTGGCGGTGATGTTCTGCGTAGGTATGGTCCTTTATGTGCACATTCTGCTGCTGCCTGGGATCATCCTGGACGCTGTATATTACCGCCTCCCCGTGGAGAACGGCTGCTGGGTCAACAACTCCCGCCAGATGGTGTGGTCGACATTCACCACCGTGGTGGTATTCGATATCCCCAAGCTCTTTATTCCCGTATGTTACCCAGTGCTGTTGTGGAAGACATTGCAGAGGCGAAAAATCGGGGCCACCTTGCGTGGTCAGATGAACGATAGAGCACCGACTGCACCGTCACCGTCGACAGCATCAAATGCCCGAGCAGATAATATGGTTCGACGCGAGAGCGCTGCTTCACGGCCCTTCATCGTTCTGACCTTATTTACCGTTGGTATTGTCGTCTGCTGGATCCCCGGGCTCGTACTGTACCTTCTCGTGAACTTTATTTCCCGGAAGGATATTTCCATGTTTTATACCGTATCGGCCATTCTGTATTCACTGCAGGCGATACTCGATCCAGTCTTTTTCTGTCTGAGCGTCAAGGATCTGCGATCACGCTTGTGTTTAATGGGGGGGCCGGTGTACGCGCTGCTGCGGTGCCGAGTTCAACTGACATTACACGCAATTACATCATTTTTTTATCAATGCTGGCCGTAGTGACGCAATAAAGAATAATAATATTTCAAATTTCCTAAAAACAGTGTGGTTCTTCAGCAGTAAAAATCAGCTGTCGATTGTATAGAAATTGTTTTGGGTAAGACTCGCGCGGCTAAATGGCATTAAAACTGGCACCGAAATAATTATACGCGCATACAGATGTGTTGTAATACAAGACCGAACAACCCAACACAACCTTCCAGTAACGTTGTCTGCGTACGGGAAATGTTGTAGTTGGTATCCCTGCCTATATCTCTCGCTAGAGCGCTCTTGTCTCTCAAACTGGTAACTTGGAGGAACGATGGTGGCACGAACTGGTACACAGGAACAAGGAATCCCTGTCAGGAGCCCTCCCAAAAACACAAACAGAGGAAGAATGCCTTACCCCTAACTTCCGGTCTTGGGTATCACGAAGATTAGAATAAGGGCAAAGGTCAATATTGTGACACGAGTATACTGCGGCTGACTAAGCTATAACCAGTCTTCGGATACGAACGCCAGACGTAACCTATAGAAAATACTGCCCCTTTTTTTAATAATTATTCTCAACGCTTTCCTCGAGACTTGAAAGTAAGAAAAGTTAGAATGCCACAGAAATCACCGGACTTATTTCTGACCGCTTCTGTTATTAGAACCGTTCAGGTTTATAAAGACTAGAGTCAGACATTGTTACACATTTCTTGGGATTCAGAGTACAGCCGATCACAGGTAAAGGTAAAAGAGTGCCGAGAATATATTTTACAGGTAAGGGCGGACATCAACGGGGCATCCGTACGTACAGCGGTGTGTGGGCTCCTCCTCCCCATGTTAGAATGATGTTATTGCAGCTGTTCGATCAAGTTACTGCAGATCTGGCCGCTTCTTTACCCTTTTCTGGAAACACTAAACAGTTTGACAGTTTGATTGGGGATGTTACGCCCAATAATTATTGCGAGTAACGTCTATCCTATGTACAGAGTGTCTAGGTAATACGAACACACTCTAAGTAAGGGTCGGCCAAGTTTACCTTTGCCTTTTCTTTGCCTTTGCCTTTTCACTTTGCCTTTTTCAACATTACCTTTACCTTTGCCTTTGCCGCCGCAAACACCTTACCGTCATAATTAGCCTTCCCACAATGCCATTTGAAATAACCTTTACCGTCGGTTATAACCGTTACATGATGGACCACAGTGAAACACTTTACCGTTTCTGGGCTTTATTCAAAAGTTTACAGGGCCTTATTCCGGGTAAAGCAGCCATCATCAGGTAAATAAAAATTACAAGTGGAGACCATTACTTACAGCTTAAAAATTTGCGCTTCAGTTATAATTACAAATCCGCGAACAAAACTGTGTTCTAAAACTACCGTTCCCAACGCAGTAAATTGTGCTTCAAAAAAGAAGGCCGTCACAAAACATTTTTGCGTACTATATCCTTTTCTGTTGTCCGCGGCGTCCACAAACCATTTTGACGAACTAGGCTAGAAATTGGTAGCATCAGTAATAGGACCAATATCGTCGTCAGATATGACAGAACTGTCATCGCTATGTGTCGGCATGTTATTGCCGCTCGCATCAAGAGTACAAAAGCTAAATTACGGTAATATGAACAATAATCAATAATCGGCACAGATAGTTTCTGAATCAGTCATCCGTGCCGGCAATGCTGTTTCAAAATTTTTTTGCGCGTAAATGTTTTTGCAGTCGTCACCATCTCAGTAACACAGGTCACAGTTCCGCATGACTGAAGTTGCGAGCAGCTGTTTGTACCTAACCAGGACACTGCACCAGCCAGTATCCGTATTGTATGTAATTCTGTTATTATGCTATGAGAAACTGATATGACAAAATGAAAATAAAAAATGTTAGCTATATTGTAATTTGTTGCCGCAGTAATAACGAAATGAAAGCAATAATTTCGTAAAGGTTTACGCAGAAGATACAACAGCGCTAAAAATTCCGAAAATGGTAAAGTGTTTGACGGCATTCTGTTACGCAACGGTTAAAGCCGATGGTAAAGGTTATTCTAAACGGCTTTTGGGGAAGGTAAATTAGAACGGTGAAGTTTTCGCGGCGGCAAAGGTAAAGGTAAAGGCAATGTTGAAAAAGGCAAAGTGAAAAGGCAAAGGCAAAGAAAAGGCAAAGGTAAACTTGGCCGACCCCTAAGTAACGAAGCCGCACTTTAACATGTACTAATACAGCAGCGGCTCGACCAGGTTATACCATACAGTTTGCGTACGATAATTCAGCACTTGCAGCATAAGGGGCACCTGTTAACTAAATAAGAGGACCTTCTACATTTATAAAGAATGATATTGCGCTTTTTTTTTTCATACGCACATTGTTTTTCACCTACGAAACCGTCTGCTCAACTATACACAAACCAAAAACACATCATCGAGATCAAGCTGCTTCTCAACTGTTCCTAACACACAAGCAGCATTACCGCGCTGAATTTCTATGCTAAAACGTTGTAACAGAAAATGCTTTGCGCGGATTTCACCGGTCTGCTCTCTGATGCGTCTAGCCACCTCATTGATGAAATCCATGGTAAGAGGGCCGCAGCTTCCCATTGTTTCCAACGCTACGGGTTGAAAAATGTACCGATCAGCCAAGTCAACATACTTGCCGCACTTCCGGTGCTCGGCCGCTTCTGCTGCAGCGCCAGCATGATCGGATGTCTGACCGATATATGTCTGCGCAAACGTATCGGCTACGGTAACGTCCCATACCAACGCTTTGCCATTCTTCCAAGGATAATGCGTTAATCCATCAGGCCGCTTGCCATTCTTCCGATCCAAACCAGGTGGTTCACGGATAGACGATATCTTCGCTGATCCAATCGCTCTTTGTGTGATATCGTTTAAATGCTCGTGGCGAGGTATCCGTCCCTTGCTACGCTTACAAGATAGACCGTGGCGGCCGAACGTGTCAACTATATTACCACAAATACATTTATGCTCACTGCAAATAGGAGCACCCAACCGTAGCGCAACCGCAATCCTCACAGCCACATCGTCCAACAAATTACCAAGGCTGGCGACGGGCAAAGCGGACAACCAAGCAGCCGATTCTTTCGTAGAAATTGCCAACAAGCGTGCTTTCTCGATAACGTCAGCATTATCCACTAAATATCGATGCTCCTTGGCATACACAATAGCCGTCCAGGCAGATATTGCGCTTATACTTAAAGATGCATTCATAGTTATGCGCTGTACGTTATTGTTTGACCCGCCCGCATTTTAACTGCATTTTTAAATTTGAAATCGAGGTTATGCTGTATACTTTACTGCAATATTTGGTTGTATACCCAGCCATGCCAAATGCATGCGCATAAAGCGTGCAGTCTGTTGAGTTTTTAAGGACGGCTGTAAAATTTAAATTGCCATCTTTTTCCGCTTTCTCCTTTGGCTTTACTTTTCAGTAAGCAACCTTTTTCTTTTTATTCGCGTTCTCAAACTACTTCTTGCGCCCTTTCCTATATATCTTCAGCTCCATGCTCTTACGCCTCCGTGTTTTGATATCTTTTCTGCCGCAGTTTTTACGAGACCGTATGTATCTACATTCTACAGTATGTAAAACGTTGTCGTTTTTTTCAAAAACCAACTGTACCGCAAAACAAGTCGTAGAAGGTACAGTAGGAGGAGAAGGTGAAGGTCGCTTGCTTGAAGGAGCAGGTAGAACCGTAGAAGAGAAGGGTACAGTGAACTGCAAATCGACCTGACACTGGCCGAAACAGCCGCTTGCTCAACTGGTGTGGTCCGACGTCGGATTAATTTTTGCCGTACTTCGTGTGTCTGCGGCGGCAGTGGTGTTGAAAAGAAGCACGCACTCGAAATAGAGTTGGACGATAGGGCGAAAGCGACACAGAATACTCGCCATTAAACGTATTCGAAAAGGATGTTCAACCTTTTTTAAGTTTAAGGGTAAGGCAAGGCAATAAGCGTGGCACGGATTTAATGCCCAGCTGGCTACCGACACCACCATCCAGCGACATCCGTGACCACAGAACACACAGCTGTCCAAACCGGCACCACCATAGCTCATACTGTATCGCATCCTGTACTGACCACCGGAAATTTGGCAACCCCGATGGTGGTTGAGTCATATCCGAATCTATTTGTTCCCACGTTCGGAATCAGTGGGAGGGAAGGGAATATATTTGGATCGCATTCCAGACTTTTAGAGCGTAAAAAGCGCGAAATCCTACAGGACGAAGGCTGGCAGCATTGTGCCTAACGTCTACCACAGTCCACATTTACCCGTGGGTATGTGGAGCTGGTACGCCGTGCTGTTTTGGAGAACCGCGTCAGACGCAGCTAAATCAGCCGGCAACTACAAATACCACTTCACCGCAACCTAATCACGCGGTAACCTGGCGCAACGGTAAAACGTGACCAGTTGCAACTGTTAATCACGTCGCTTGTTCAAAGAATGCGCTGCTTTTTGCAGGATACCGAGCGCTCTGTGGATTTTTGTTGTTTATTTTGGCCTTCCTATAAGTACAGAGCCCACGCTCTGTATAAGCCCACGCCTTTTAATCTGTGAGGTGCTTCAAAAGGACTGGCCTGCGACTTTCCTGTGTGGAGCTTTTATGGAACTGTGTCTACTTAATTTTCTATATTGTGGTGCTTGCTTGCTTTGTCTGCTGGTGTATGGTAACATTAGCAATACTATAATTATTTTTGAAAACTGATTACATGTGTAATTTGTTTAAATACTGTTACCAAACTTGTTACCATGATCAGTTTTCACTATTTTACTAAAATCCTGCGGGTTTCCGAATAAGCACCACAAATTCAAAGTACAGATAAAATCACCAAAAAACTAATCAGAAGCCAAAATAAACTGCAAATTACATTGCCCTAGCTATGTTCTACGGTCATTACACAAAACGATAGGCAGAATCATCATAAGCAAAGAATATTAAACCATCAAAATAAGGTATTAATCATTTTATATTAATATGAGCGCACAGCTGGCGGCACGGGTTTACACTCCTCTTCATCCAGCGTGTGATCA